GTCCAGTGTGTCCAGCGTGGTCTCCACCCTTAGCAGCCTCCCGGACAGCGACAGCAGCAAGCTCACCACCTTGTCCAGATCGCCGATGAACATGCGGAACTTGTCCACCTCGTTGGGCTTGCACACGGAGACCACCATGCTCTCCACCTGAGAGCAAACACGAAGAGCAGATTTACTGTAAGTCAGTGACGTGATGGACAGAGCTGATGAAACACAGAGCTGATGCAGTGGATGTGAAACCTTACCCAGCATCAACACGCTTCTTCATTCTGCATCCATAAGACCTTATTAAAAATAACTGCCATGAACTTTTCAAATAAACCTGTCTGGTTTTTGTAGCCTCCTATTGGTTAGCTAGCAGGCTAAACACTATTAGCTTTAAAGGTCCCCACAATCTTACACTCACTTATATTTGCACTGTTCATTTGTGTTTCTTAAACACTTCCTTAAATGTCTTCTCCTTTAGAGTTTGTCACAGTGGCTCATTTGCCTCCATCAAACCCCATCCTTACCATCCTCCTCTGTCACACCAACCATCTGCATGTCCTCCTTCACTATCCATAAACATTCTCTATGGCCTTCCTCTTTTCTTAGTATTTAAACTCTGCCTCTGCTGCCTGCATGCTTACCTATCCACCTGCCTCCGTCTCATTCACACACATGGATTCTGTCTTGCTTCCACTGACTTTTATTCCCCTCCTCTCCAAAGCATACCTCCTCCACTCCAGGATCTCTCCCACCTGTTCACGACTCTCCCTACTGATCACAGCGTCGTCTGCAAACATCACAATCCACAGAGACTCCTGCTTGTCCTCATCAGTCAATAGAAAAAGGGGCTCAGAGCCGATCACTATTATAATCCCAGTCTCTGTGATCGTCGTGTTGGTGTTGTTCCTGGATCATCATATTTGTCCAGGATCAACACTGCATCTGACCAATCACACTGTTATGATGTCACAGAAAACAAAAATGCTGATGACATCCACTTAGGAGGAGAGGCTGTCCGGGTCAGGCTCAGGAAGGGGCTTAGGATGCAGTTGTGATTGGGGTTAAGGGTATAGTTTGGTTAACCCAAACCCCTATCACCACAATGTGATTGGTCACTTGCAATGGTGAACCTGGACCAGAATTAGTTTTTTTTTTGTTTTGTTTTTTTATCAGGAACAACACCAACATGAGGATATCAGATCGTGCATATCATCCCACCCCCACCTTGAACCCATCTGTCACTCCTATCGCACACCTCCTCGCTGTCTCGCTGTCCTCATACATGCACCACCCTCACATACTTCTCTGCCCCTCCTGACTTCCTCATGCAGGACAACAGCTCCTCTCTCTATCATATGCTTTCTCTAGATCCACAAAGACAGTGCAGCTCCTTCTGACCTTCTCTGCACTTCTCCATCAACACAAGAAAGCAAACATCACATCTGTAGTACTCTTGAAGCCAATGAAGGCAAACTGCCGCTCACTGATGAGCACCTCCCTTCTTAACCAAGCTTCAACAGCTCTTTCATCAGCTTCGTCTCTGTGCAGTTACTGCAGCGCTACACATCACACTTCTTCTTAGCACATTAGATCTCTTGTGTGGTTAACCACACAAAACCATCTAAAACAAAGCAATACACAGCTTTGCTTTAAAAAGAAAAAGGTACTTTTCTTTTAATCTGATTGAACAAGAAAAATACAACATGTTAATAGGTTTGTTGTTCTGTGCTGACATAATGACCAGGTGAACGAGTTCGTCCTTACCTCCTCTCCCAGCTGTGCATTGGCTCTGATGTCCTCCTGCAGTCCTCTCTGAGCTTCCCTCAGCACTCCCAGCTTCTTCCGGAGGCTCTCCATCAGCTGTTTCTACACAACAGAGGAAGAACTCCTTAAAGCCCAATAACCAGGAGCGGTCCTCTCCCTTTATCTCCACCACACCCGTTCTTCAAACAGCAGTCGCATGAATTACCTTGTAGGTCAGCTCGTCATCCTTGTCGCGCTCTCTGTTATCTGTGAAGTCCTTCATCTGCGACAGGATCTGAGCCTTGGCCGTTGATGTGCTGTAATAGGACGAACAGCTGGAGCTAGCTCCTGACCGCCTGTGGAGAAGGCACCGGCAGGGGAGTTTATGTTATTCCCACAGTGATCAAAGACAAAAAGAGGTGCAAAACAGACAAAGCTGTAAAAATACGGTGATTACAGGTGCATGTAAAAGAAGTGCAATTAATTACGTGGGTTTAGTAAGGCAAGACATTAACGAGCGGCATCTCGGCACAACTCGGCTCCAAAACTGTGAAACATGATGCCAAATGAGAGGACAGTAAAGTTTTTTTTGTTTTTTCAACACTGTGTAATGCTTAGGGGAGTTCTTTTTCAACATAATGGGTTGAAATATAAAAATAAATCCATGACTTACAATTTTACAATTACTTTAACTACGTTTTTTGATAACTTGACCCGCTTCCACCTATACGGCTTTGTCTGGACTACAGGTAAGCTAAAATAAAAGTTTTCACTGTTAAGTCAAAGAACTTCGTCAGGGTCCAATCCAGGCCTTTGGAAAGGTTCGTACGATGTTGAAATTAAAGATAAAAAGGGTATTGTGTCCGTTCACAGAGATAACAACCTGCTCCTAAACACATTCATGACAAAAGGTGCTGTCTTTAATTATCAGTGGGAAGTATGTGGAGGCGAGTAACAAACGTCCAGTTTCTGGGAGTTTACATCAAGGAGGATCTGATCCCAGAAGCACAGCAGAGACTTTACTTCCCGAGTGTCCTCAGGAGGAAGAACGTCCCTCTGAGACTGTTGGTTTCCTACTTCAACTCTATAGATAGCATTTTAACATACTGCTTCCACGTGGGGTTTCCTTGTTATGTGGTGGCACAGAAAAAGGTCCAGAGGGTTATCAGTGTTATCAAGGGTTAAAATTATTGGAAACTGTGAGGACCTACACAGCTCCCACTGCCTCAGACAGCCTAATATCATAATCATATCATCACAGATCTCTCCCAGCCCGGTCACCTCCTGTTTAATCTGTGAAACAGACTAAAAAACTGTTTTTATGCTTTTCCCCTTTTTAAATCTGTTTTTAAATCTTATATAGTTTTATATGTTTTTTTAGGACTGTTGAGATTGCTGTACATAATACAATGACAATAAAGACACTTCATTAAAAAAAAGTGAAGACAAAAATGAAAAACAAATGTTTCTTTGTTGATTTTTCAGTTTTAAGATTAAAAAAAATGAACCGGTCTGCGCTCTATGTGGTGCTAATTACCCATCATGCACCTGTGTCTGCGACTACAAACCATCTGTAAACCTAACAAAGAAGAACCAAGTCTTTTGGAAAGGTTGTGGGAAACAGAATGAGCTTAGTGATGAGAACAGTTAAGTCTTGTACAAATCAAATGGTCTGTGTAACGCGCGCACACACACACACACACACACACACACACACACACACACACACACACACACTCTTCTCTCATACCTATCCAGGCTGTCTGTGCTGTGCTCTGCGGGTTGCGCTTCTCTCCAGCTCTCTGTGCCCGACTCGCCCTCACTGCTCTGGGGGAAGAGCTCCTCCAGGCTCAGCCCCTCTCTGCTGCTGCTCTCCCCACCCTCCAGCTCCTCCTCCAGGGAGCTGCTCTCCGCCCTTGTCCTGCCTGACGGCGACGCCTCAGAATCCGGGAGCGTGTCAATGTCTGTCTCCAGGACCGTGACAGGGAGGGCGAAGCACGGGAGCTCGCTTGTGATGGGAATGTCCTCTCCCGGAAGCTCCTCCTCCTGGAAGTCATCGATGTCGGTCTCTAAGGGGACGTCCAGGTCAGCCTCCAGGCTGTGCTCCGGGCTCGGGCTGAGGGTCGTCTCTGATTCGGTTCCTGTTTCAAGGATCTTCTGCTGATCTTCCATCTGGAAGCCTCTGTCCACACGAAGTTGCTCGCAGTCGGTTCGACTGGCATATCTACCGGAAGCCTCAATGACACCTCCGTTTTCTAAAATAGGAGGGGTCGCCGTGTCGCTGTGAACCCTGGGGGCTGAAGCTCTCTCCCACTCGGCTCCAGGTCTCACGCTGGGCTGCTGTTTGTAAGGTTTGACTGTAATTTTGTTGTGGTCTGGGCTGCAGCTGACGTCCATCGCAGATGAACTACAGAGAAACAAGAGAATTAAAATAATCTGACACATCAGTAAACCAAGCACAGGAATTAGGAGTCTATTAAAATCAGTGATGGGAATAACGGTGTTACAGTTGCACGGAAGTAGCTGTCTACGTAAGTAATCTGGGTGGTACAGCTTTAAGCAGCTGCGCGCTCCGCTATCACTTTCTGCCCGACGATCACTTTCTGGCACAACACCTGGAGCTCAGGGGGCAAAACAATCACATGAGTGCTGCTGTTTGACTGAGGAAGAATAAAGTAGTCATGGTAAGCCAATCACATGACCACTTAAAGACAAAGCAAAATGGTGATATTTACCAGTTTTTAAATTGTGTTGAGAGGCCGTAAAACCAGAGTCATGATAAACAATATATACACGGCGTTTTTTCCTCAATAGTTTCGTCACGTTTACTGTCTAAGGACAGCGCAGCAAGCACTGCTTCTTATGAGAGAAAAAAACACAAAACAAAAACAGCCCGTTC